TGATAGTTGGTGGACGGGTTTCCCCGTGACGGCCTAAAGCCCGCCTCGTTTGTGTTTGAACGCGATTAGGATCGCTGCTCCTTTCTAAAATAGTGTGGAACAGGCTTCAGAGTGCGTTCATACAGTGCGCTTTGAGCGTTTTGGGCGTCAAATATGGGTACCGATTCAGCATCCTGGGCGTCCACCAGCGTTTTGAGCTCCCGCCAACGTTTCCTACGACTAAGAAAGCGTAGGTATCGATCCAGCGTTTCGAGCGTCTCCTAGGGTTCAGTGTCGGCATTTTTAGCTTCCGCCAGCCTTTTGATCGATAATCGATATCTTTACATTCTTAGTCGCTCAAAACACTAAAATGATCAAAACGCTGCCGCAGAGTATAAACGCAGTCTTGCAGTGCTATCGCAGTTCGCGGAAGCAATAGCTATACGGACTTGCTGAAGTTGTCCTTGACGTGTCATGACATGTTCTAACACCTGTCAATGCGGTATTTTGTCAGGCGACATGTCCTGCCACGAAAAGGATTGTTATTGTCCGACGATAAGGTCCGTATAACGGTTGCTTGCCCCAGCTGCGATACAAGGCTTTACGCCTCAGTAGTTCCTTTCGCTGCTCCAGTCTGGTCATAAGTGGGACCTGTCTTTTCAGAATGATCTCCAAATTGACGTCACGGAATCGGCTGACACATCGAAGACATCGTCCAGTCTCCTCACACCACCTTCAGAAGATGATCAGGACGTAAGTCATATCCATAAACGCACCATTCAAGGCTTTACTAGTCGTTGGAGTGGCATTTAGCTTACATTTTAGCTTTGCAACTGTAGAACAGGCATGAAGCATAAGACTCTTTCTCACTTTAGAAGCTAAGGGTCTGGGAAGGGGCAAATCCGCTATCATTAGTGTTATTAGAGACCACTATCTTTCGAACCAGTGAGTTTTAAGATGGATGAACTACATAACATTTGTGTAAAATTGGAATGTGCGTTGTGACTCACAGTGTAGTTCGTGCGGACGGTTGGGCGTGTCAGGCGGGATGAGTTTGGCGCGGTGCCAAACCCGTTCTCCACCAGTTGTTAAAGCGAGCAAGTGATATGACTGTATCATATCGTTCGTATTACTCGTTTTCTACCACTTTTTGTCGCATGCGCGCTTCAACAAGAAGGCAGAGAACGGCTTTGACACTCATACTGCCTGACACGCCCAACCGTCCGCAGCGAACTACAGTATAACAGTGTATAGCTCCCTCCCACCAGGGCTACTAAAAGCGCAGAAGCGAGGTTCCATTTTGGCCCCTCTATCATGTTGCATAGCGCCGACCAAATTGAATAGTTTAGTCGACAAATCTCGTCTAGGTAGAATTGGTAGCGTCGCAGATATCCTGTTCAGACCATGAGCTTCAAGTTGGTTAGCGTTCCCTTGGTGCATCTACCTCTGAGCGGATGCTTGGTTTCTGTCAAATATGACTCATGCTTTGGTTTCGTAAACCGATGCTGAAGCAGTGTCTTGTCTGTCCAGATTTCCCTGTGAAGCGATTTCAAGGCAACGTGCGCACTGCAGTGATGTTCACCTTGAGTGAGCATTATCCATGGTCAGGTTGTTGAGTACGCTTCCTCGAATACACTACGTTATCCCATTTCTTATCGGTTGAGTAAATGGTCATATAACGGCAGTCACCTCCATCCTTACCATCCATCTACAGCGTCGTCACCTGGGTTCAGAACTTTGACTGCACACGTTGTGGCACGATCCACTTGTTTCTGACTGGTTATTTTGGTCAGAAAACGTTGAGTCAAGTGCTTTTAGAAGTTTGGCTTGAATTCAATCTAGCAATTGGATCAGCATTCAGGATGGTTCCTGGCTTTAGTCCACTATTACCTTTATCACCTGTGCTCCCACTTATTATCGAGTTGCTCGAGCGGGCGCTAGTAACGTGTGAATTCGTCCCTGCAACGTCCCTGCTCGAGGACACGATGAACTTTATATCATTCGCTTAGAGTCACGAAGTAGTCCTGACCATTGCGTCGGCTGTCGCCTGCATTTGTTTGACTTCCCGGGCAATCCAGTTGGTAATGGCTCTGGTCCGGCGGTCATCTTCAAATGCATGATGAGCCCGGCCCGCCTTACCATGTCTTCTCATTAAATTTGACGCATGATGTACTCAAGAGGCGCTGAAAAGCTCAGGCGAGATGGGGATGTCGCCCTGTCGGACCCCTCTCTTCACGTCGATGATGATCTCCTTGTAGAATGGTGAGATCTTGGTCGTGAAGTTGCTGTAGAGCTCACGAAGAATCCTGATGTACTGAGTAGGAATACCCTGGTTGCCCAGGGCTTCGATAACCGCTTCTGTCTCAACGGAGTCGAAGGCTTCGATGAACGTGAGACATAACGGTATCTTGTACTCTCGCAGTGATCGATCGTGCTGAATCCTCTCCGAAACCCTGCTTGCTCTCGTCCACTATACCGGGGTATTTTACAAAGCACAATAGACATGCCGGGCCATTTTGTTCGGTTGGCGGGAAAGTTCAACCATATTTTCTTGGCAATAAATCCTCTTTTGCAGAGAAACGTACATGATCAAACTTATCCACTTTTTGGCGAGATAGCGAAAGAGTTTCGAGGACCTTATGAATGCCATCTCTGGAAAATGTAGTGGCGCAACACAACATAGCATGTCAGCTCGATTTTGACGTGAGTTTAGGTCGTGATCGATGTCACAAGGCTCTGTGAGCAATGATCAGGGCTATGCCGGTGCTGAAGGAGAACCTCTGTTGCACAAAGTTTGGCTCGACCTTTTTCGGAGGGCGAGGACTGCCCTGTCGTGTTGAAGGCAGACTGTGCGAGCAACTTTATCCCTTTGATCGACGCTTCGAATCTATCAACAGCTTCCTAAGGAACGTGCAAGCAGCTTCTTGGTCCAATGGTTCTCATAAGTTTCAGCTCCCTTAAGCTAAGTTCAGATGGACATCCGGACCACAATTCCTCTTCAAAATTGTAGCCTCCCGCTTTGAAGTATTAGGATAGGGGGAGACGTTCTGGTGATTGGGGCATTATTAGGGTAGGGGAGACGTTCTGGTGATTGGGGGCATATTTCTATGCAACTCCTTTATTTTATATTCATCAGCTCTCAATATAGAGCTGGATGGTAGAAGGAGAAACTTTTGAGGGTGTCAATGCTGACGCTACCAAATTTTTATCCATATTGTAGAAAGTCTTTATAAAAAAATAGGTAGGAAAGAAGTGACTGGTATCAATAGGAAAAGTTTTACCTTGTGTAGTACGGCTCACATTATAGACCGCACCTCTTCAGACTATGGGCCAGTATTTTATGTTCTTAAATGTGACCGAATTATCTCGCCACCTAATGTAAGCTTTTGGAAAGATTGTGAGCTAAGTGGGCGGCTCCTCAAGAACTGAGGAAACCACCTTTTCGCAAGAGAATTTTTTCATTTAACCAGCCCTTTACCCACTTCGGGCGGAATTCGATGCTGTTTCAATATACTGAGGCATTCTTGCTTACTCCTGTCAACATGTAGAACAAATTTGGAAAATGCTTCAGGTGAAGAATTTGCGCCGATTGCGCTTTTATTCCCTCCACGGCCTCTTACACGTTCAATAGCATTGATAACTTCAATACCAATTAACAAATGTTATCGAGGGACGGATATTCTGCCTGGCTCAGGGGAAGGAACTCGGGTTTGGGTAAACGGACAAACTGGTGCATATGGGGCTCCTGAACTTCACAAACTGGTTGAGTGTTTATGGGGACTAGAAAAATGCCCAGTATATTCGACCAGCTCGCAAAAATGCTAGTGTCCTGGCCCACACTCGATTCTACGTCTACTCCCTCCAGTACTGAATGAAAAAAATAGAAGAAATAAAACTGGTCACATGTCGCAGTTTTTCAGAAGTTCTCAGAGCTGTATTGGTTCGGTATATTTATATTCCAAATTGGTTCATATTTATAGGGCTTCAAAAAGTAATCAATTACTGCACTAGAGTCTAGTCCTTTTAATTAACTTTATGAAGGTCGAATGTCAGGTGTGTTTGTGTTTTGAAGTGAATCTACCACGAAAGATACTTGCTTTTTTTGCCTATAGCGAAACTTACCAACTTAAGTTGCTTTTTCCTGTTCTAATAGCAAAGTAATTGTTTGACTAGATGACGTTCCAAAGAGACGGCAAAATTGCATTGAATCTATTAATATCGGTGTTTTAGGTAGCTTGGGTAAAGACGAAGGCGAAAGGCGGTAGTTTTGTCATGATAGCATTCACACTGATGAGACTGGACGAATCCGAATTCGATTCGTGTAGATCCAGTTTCTGGGTAGTCTTGCAGTGTGACTCCAATTTGCATTATAAGCTTCTTTCTGGCGAACTTTCTTCTGATACCTGCAGGATTGACGTTGTTTCAGTACCATTAACGTGGATCGGAGCTTTCCTTGTAGGCGGCCTCAAATGGCGAGCAGTTCTTTCTTGAACTGGTCTATGTCACCTCTTGGTTTTATCGTGGGATTTCTTTTTTGCAGAAGTAATTCTGATGTCCATTTTCTTCTTTGAAGAGCAACCGCACTTTATAAGGAACTAGTTATTGAATGAAACAGTTTCTAGTAGCTGGCTTACTCCGCTACTCCTTGAGAAGAACCTGTAGACTTCAATGGGTTTTATTCCGATTAGAACGGTTCCCACCTGCTGATATATTCCGTTTCAAAATCGAAGAAGAAAATCTGTATTATTTTTCGCACAACGCGTTTACATTTAAGAAGGTATGAGCGTTTCTAAGGTCATGCTTGCGTCTATAGTTGTGTTCGCTGTGGATGATAGAGCGTGTTAGCGCAGCCATGTTTGGCGCGGCGCCAACTCCTTTCCTTCGACAAGCGACAAGACTATCATATCGTTCATATCAGTCGTTTTCCACCAGTTGTTGTCACTTACCCGCTTCAACAACTGGTGGAGCTGCGCTGGGAAGACTCATCATCCACAGCGAACCAAGGCTGTACTCTTAGTCCTATGACATCCCTGAGCTCTTTTAGTATTAGAATCAAGGGAGAAAGTGTGTTTTGTCATTTCTGTGTTCCTATTTGTTCTGGTTAATCGAGGTCTAAGCTGTAGCGATTTTTAAAAGAAATACAGAATTGTCGTCCTATGGGATAGTGGCTAACCAACTTCCACATCTGTTTTATTTTCAGTCAAAACCCAGTCCAGCGCAGTCGTCTTGTGGAGGAGTGCCGAGAAAGCGCAAGTCAAATGGCTTTCGTAAAACTGAAGAAACAGTGAGGAAGAGCGTAAGGTACAGCCGAGATTTCATTCATCGTTTTATTTGTTCACACAATCGAGTCATCCTTCCATGACAAGATTTATTTCTTACAATACTAGTGGTAACCAAGAATAACCGTACCGTAGGTGAAAACCCGTCCTCAGGCCAAGTCCCTCTCAGAGCTATGTGGAAATGTGTTCTGATTAGATAACCTTTTCCCGGAGTTTTTGAGAGCACGCAGTGGTTGTTGTCCGAGAGTCCGTTCGTTTGGCGCAGCGGTTGGTTATCCACGCAATTTCTATCATTTCACGCAGAGTGGTTAGATCTGTAAGAAGGTTGGCGCAGAACCTCGACCTGTAAGGATAAGCTTTTGCAACGAACGGTAGGAGTGAAAGTCGTAATTCGTTGTTTGCGCATCTACGGGGCTTCATGGACCTATGCCCTCTTTACCGATGCATATAAAAGCCTTTACGCTCACGGTTCCTTCACCGGTTGGGCAGAAATAGTGACTGCGGGAAAACCTTCTCTTTTGTTCTCAGCATCTCTTCGAGATCACTCCCCAGCGAGAGAGCCGTGGCATTTTGCCAAGGGACAGCGTACAAGACGGTCCCACCTTGCGCTTTTATACAGTGCACTATGCTGCTGGGCCACTTGCTGGGCGGTGTCGTCGAGATTTTTAATAATGAAAAGAGTAAAACTATCAAGGGGAAGATGTAAGCAATGGGAAACATTGTATTTTGTCCACCCCTACCTAACGTAATTTCTTAAGCGTTGGTGGAGCGATGTCACGTCAGTAATAGCAACTTGAAAAAGCACCGCAACGAATGCGGAATAAAGTGATAAAGTGACTTTAGCGGTGAAATGGCACATGAAACTACATCTTCCAATAGCAGATCCCCTATTTCCTGTGGGTGAATAGATGAACTTGGGAGAGTAGGGTGCTGTTGCATTATTCAGAGAAATTTGTTTGTTGCAGCTTTTAAACCTTTCATAAAGTCTTCTCAAACGTTATGTTCCAGGATAACGAGGACATGTGATCCCTCCGCAGCAGATTTTGTTGACAACTATGTGGACTCGAAGCGATTAAAGCAACGTGAGTTTCATTCTGACATGAATGTGCTCCCTTGAGGACGTGTCGAGGAGGGGGGAGGAGGGCTGTGGTGCCGCGCCAGTCCGTTCTCCAGGAACGAAGCGGACAAACGACAACAATTGGCAGAAAACGGGCCGGCGCTTCGCCGAGCTCAGCCCCGTCGGCTTTCTGAAACGCCCCAGTCCGTTGCAGGCAAGACCGTATGTGCTCAGACACCAAGCAAATATCAAGTAGTGGACCTCTAACAACCCTTTCCAGTGAGCGCGTAAAATGCTGCGTAACACGCTCTGCGATGATGTGCTGTCACGCTGTACCTCAGGCCCGCTTGCGGTACACTTTTGTGGCATTCCTATTCATCATATCACCGCGTGCTAAATAGATTTGTATGTGACGGAATACATTCTGCCAATGATAGTCGTCCTTTCAGGGACTCAATAAACGTGTTCGAGCTATTTGTTTCAGCCCGCATAGTGCAACCACCGAAAGGTGCTAAACGAATACCGAATGTGATGCCACGGAATAAGGGAGCAAAAGAAAAGGACAAGTTATCGATAGATATGGTCGGTCCACGAACGAGAAGTAGTCTCGTCGAACTGATATCTCCTCTTGGCGGCACTCGACGACGGAATGTGCATGTTGAACTCACGGCTAAGATCGGCCCAGATCATCAGGTATTGAACCTTTTTCTAACTGCGCCCATAGATAAGGATAAAGCAAAACAATCTGCGGTAACGTTGTCGCTGTGATTCCAAGAAACGTTCTCAGTTTGCGTTTCTGATAGGTGAGTCAGAGTGTGTTCAAAATTTTCAACGAGCGGTCGAGTCTCTCAAGTCAAAGGACTGCGACTGAGGGCGCTCCAGCACTGAGCAGTGAACCGCTGCAGCGGCTAGTTCGGTTATCGGTTGATGCACCACTTGTGGGAGCGCTTTTCCATTCCAATGGCCACCCTTGTCGCTGATTTTTCCCTCTCATTAGTGCATCAACTGGATCTAGACGAAGCTGCTATAGCGATGATGCTCGTTTATTAGGTTTTATTGTAACTCTTAGGTTCTATTTCAGCACTCACTTCAGACGTTTTAGGCAACATTCGAACCATTTTACGCTAGTGATTTCGCGGCCCCTTCTATTTCAAGTGTAGATGAGGAACCTGACAGGGATGAACTGGTAAGCAAAAAGGCTTTGTTTTTTTTGAGCAGCTATCAAGGCAAGTGCTATTTTTGAGCAGCAACAGCAATAAAGAGCGCCTCCGATATGCTCTGAGTGGTAAAGCAAGTGCCTGTAGTGTTTGCAGTACCGGCGGCTTTAGTTCTGTATGAAATGAAATAAGAATATTATTAGGTTGATCTCTTTTAACGAGGCTCCCTTTTCTTCCAGTCCCGTATTGTCTCTCAAAGCAAAAAGTCGCTTCCACGAGTTGTCCTTGAATCAGGCTAATGCTTCAGTTCATGGGAAATGGTTCGAACCACGGTGTTGCGTGCTAGTTTCTCTTGAAAATCCAGTCGTAGGTTCAGGTGGAATTATTTTGAGACAGTAAAACTTTAGCTAATGGCCTCACGTTTCTTCTCAAGGTAGAACGCTAAAAAGCATTCTGGGGACAAACATTGATTCCGGCAACATTGCAAACAAGGAAAGGATTCATACCAGCGCTTCAAGCACTGAACGCTTGTTTTCTGACGTGGGTCGGAAGGCGCCCTTAGAGGAGCTGTTCTTCAGCAGGTTCGGGCCGCGGCGAGGACGGCAAAAGGGGCACTGCGAGTGGGGTCTTTCTCACCAGGACCCAGCTCACTTGAAGTGGCAATGCTGCAGCTGGTCAGTGGCAATGCTGCAGCTGGTCGCCGTGGTAGGAAGTACTCTGCTAGCTTCCGCACAATGCCACGCCTCAAAGTCATGGACTTCACCCTGAGGCAGTTCGGCGACGGGAGGGGGGGGGGAAATTTAGTACTTTTGCTGCTTCACTTATTTCTGTTTACCTGTCTTCTGGTGAAACCTGTTAGACAAACATAATTCTTTAAGAGAAGCCGTTTACTTAGTGATTACTGAACCAAACTAGTAACCCAGTCATAGCTACGCGGAGGAGTTGAAAACTGCAAAATACCTACATTGGAAGGTTTTCTGATCACTGGCATTGTGGCCGCGGAACACGGCGTGTACTGCTGCGCCTCACGCTATTTCCACAAGTCATGTGCGTGAAGCGTTACCTTCAGGCGTGGGATCGCAGTACGAGGTGAGTTGGGAGATAGACTCTACGCGCCTATGCTATGGATCCATGGGTGGGTCCCGTGCGGATGCCGTGTGCACCACCGCGCTTGCAGCGCCTACTACGCTGCAACTGAGTGAGAAGTATCGCTTAACACTCAGAGGTTACCACGGAATGTCGCGCACGCCTAGCGATTGATATCCGTAGCTATTCAAGTGTCTAGTTTTCCTTTTTTCTCCATTCTAGGCCGAAGCCAAGTCTATCCAGCAGCGTTTCCACAAATTCTCACGACTAGAGAATCCTCAAATCGATAGCTGCGCACTACGCACCCGCAGAAGTGGGCTGTGAGTTGCCGCTACCCCACCTGCTCCCGATGGGGCGGTCGCGAATTCGCACAGGATGCTATGGCGCACCTTTTGAGTGGAACGATCTCACTTCATGGCTTCTCGAAGTTGGAGCGGAGAATTGCCGTCGCAGTCATTAGGTAGCATCTAGGCTGGGATCTTACATGAACACTGCTTGCTCAAAGTTATGGATTAAAAAGTATCAACATCTTACGTGCAAATATGGACAGGTTTCAGTGGCACGTTTTTTCACTGAAGGGGAACTTGATTTGTGCGGATATCTGCGCGTAAGCAGTAATAAGGGAAGTTTCGTGCACTGTTGATGGAGTAGACAGAATTGATCTTAAACCTGTTAACGTCGGCAAGGAACTATGTAGAAAGCGCAAAAGTGCTTCATAATCATTATTTCAATTGAAAATTTCCTTTGTATGAAAAGTTTTAGATTTCTGCGTATGGATGCTTGGTTAAATTCGTATTGTTGCTTTCAGATATGGCACCTTGAACCTAGCGGTAGCACCTCCTACTCAAGCGAAGAACTCGACGATGCTTGGTCAGCTATTCGTTGCCAATACGGAGGGACGATAGGACTAGATTCGGTATGTTTTGTCCAAGATATCTTGTTTGGAAAAATCTCCTAGAGTGTAGGATTTTGAGCATGGAGTGGTATGTCGTCATTTCAGATGTTATACTGTCTAATGAAGCACAACTACAATATAGATGCGATGTTGGAGAATATTGAAGTGGAGCAGTGGAGGAACCTGTCACAACCTTTTGAAGAGTAGGTTTAAATGTTTGACAGTTCTGATGGCGCCTTTAAGCATGGGAACACCACCTTTTTCACATATGAATAATTGTGTATTGGGGTTACTTGACATCCTGATTACTGATCACGAATAACACCTTCGCATTTGGCGCTGGTGTCACTCAGTCCACTGCTACCTTGGGAAAAAAACGGTTTCCCTTGGGCCAAGCCCGGCCTTAGTATACGAAGTCTCACTAGCTTGGGAGAAGGGAGCAGACCAGCGCAGTAAGCTGCGCTGTCAGTGTCGTCGCTGGTTCAGCAGCCCTTTCCCTCCCCTGACTCCTTGGCTGCCTATGCAGATGTGGTATTCATGTTCAGGAGGTCAAACTACCCCAGAAGACAAGTTTCCAGCAAACTAGGTAATCTAGCTATTTTGGCGCCTGCGCCGTTGGCGCGGACGCCAGACAGTTTCAAGCTGAGCGGATGTGATATTTGTGTTGTGTCAAAGCACCCTTGGAAACAAATTTTCGGCCGAATCTGCCCCCAAGGAAAAAAATTGCAAACGGCTATTTGGGAAGTCTGGGGTGGGAATAGCTCAAAAATGCTTTCAGCATGAGTGACTTCAGCTTGTTTGGACGAATGCAGGAAGCATCCGGCTAACTAGTTTAGCCTTCAAGCTCTTGCTCTTTCCTCATTGGATCGTCACTTTAATAGGTATTTCATATTTCCAGACTGAATATTGCTCAGCAGAAGGAATTCGAACGAGTTCTTCGGGACTTGAAAGGGAAAAATTTTGGTGCGATTCAGGACAAATTTGTGAGTTATTGTTTAGAGAGACTTGCTCGCTCATATCCGTTCATAAATTTGCATTCAGATGAGACAATACTATTATTCAATACTATTATCAATCAAAGCGACGCGCTTGCGTTCATGAGCGTTATACGCGTTGTTTGTGCAGGGAAAGGTGAATACTTAGATGCTGATTCATGATTCTCTACTAGCAAGGAAGGGAAGCATAGGCCGCCCATATACTGTGCTGTCTGCCAACTTTATTACAAGTATGTTCAGTTTCTATGTAAAACCGTGACTCCGTATTAGTGCCAATAGTTTCAATCCAGTTCCCTCCATTTTGACTTTGCGATACTATTTTCCAAATGAGCACTTCCTCTTCAGAAGAAATGGCTGTCATCGTAATGTCGTGGGTAAATTGTTTGAGATGGATGAGAAGGTCGTTAAACGTTGGGTGGAGCTGGAAAAGGATAACAAGCGAACGATGTCTAGTGCAGAGGTATGCTATAGATCCTTATTTAGTTGCTACTAAAACGAAGATACTTCTGGTTTCTAATGAAGAGGCCGAGCAAACCGTTGAAGGTTTTGAAACATAGTCAAATAAGTTCTGTCCCCTTGAGGTTCATTAGAAACATTCCATAATTTCCCTGAATCTTGTAGAAGCGTAATGGTTGTACTGCTTCTTTCGAATGTGTAATGACAATGTGAAACTCCAAAAGTTTATTCCAAAAAACTCAAAAGACAGCAAAGTCTCAAAAGTAGCATAAGTCTCAAAAGTTTTATAAAATCTCTTATCTTGCGATATTTGGGTGAATAGCAGCTTCCTCACAAATATCCCGGCAAATTCTGAATTGATTATTCCAACTTATGAATTTGCCGGGATATTTGGGCCTGAGGAAGGTGCTACGCACCGAAATATCGCAAGATAAGATATTTAAAAAACTTTTGAGACTTTTGCTGTCTTTTGAGTTTTTTGGAATAAACTTTTGGAGTTTCACATTGTTATTACACATTCAGATGAGTAATGAGACTCCGGGACAGCACCATACTCCGATGCTTCTATTGAGTTGTAGTGTTGGTGATGAATGTGAGCTAGGCAGACCGGAACTAGCTTTATGTTCTTTTATAGAAGGATTTTTCTGATGTTTTGGCCCAAATCTGAATTTGAAATGGAGTGAAGGCTTCCACTATCAGTTGCTCTTGAAAGCGGTTCCGCGATTGCATGATAGGAACCCCTTGAGCCAAACAGGGCCGTATCTTTGATCTTTTCAATGCTTGGTTTCTGCAAGTACTTTTTGTCCTGTTTCTCCGCGGCACCACATGACGCTTTTTAGTTCGAGTACCGGGTTTAAGATAGCTATATGGGTTATTCTAAAGCACTTAGTTACGTTTGCACTATCTTTTTTCTTCTCTTTAAGGTTTTGGAGTGGCTCGAGACTGAACGGCGCGAGGCAGTTCTATTAAATCCAGATTTCGACGAGGTTGGTGTAGTTTGTAGTTCAAGATGAAATGTGAGCTCAGTGCATCTTTTTCCACAAAAGTGAGGAAATTCCAATTCGGGTGGCGATAAGAGGCAAATACAGTCGAGAAACTTTGTGCCAATCGGCGATAAGGATCGTTTCTCAACGATTTCAAAAAAAAGTGGGAAAGCGTCTACGTCAATGCTCACCCTCTAGGTGTATGTCGATCTATTCTTGTCTGTTTGCTTCTACATCCTTGAGCATTTTGAGGCCACCCGATGGACATGATCTCTGAAGTTATCGTTGATGAGGTTCAAACTTGTCTTCAGTACACAAGAATTAATGCAACCAGAACAGGTTGTGTGGCTGAGACGAGACCGGACCGCGGGCACAGCGATTATTTGCGCTGATTGGCTCGCGTGCGCTTGTTGTTTGTGAAGGGTGGAGTTAAGCGCTATGAAAATGTTTGGGAAATCCTTTTGATTTTTTGGGGAGAGAACATGCTGTCAGTGTAACGCAATATTTTATATGTGTGGGGCGAATTCTACGTAACAGTAGCACTCTAACAGATCGAGAGATTAAAGTCCTTTATCGCTAATAGCATTCATAGAAATGAATTCATCAAGATCGGCGTTGACCAAGTCGATTGTGCGACTATACCGGACTATATAGTTTGACGCCATCGCAACCTCCCCTGGAAATTGTTCAGACACCGAATTGATGCAGAGGTCGGTCCCGAGTTCACCGGCTTCAGTAGATGGGAAATAGTTCAAGTTGCAATTGGTTGAGGTGCCACGAACAGTACTGCATCAGAACTGTCGTCTAGTCGATCACTTTGAAGCCTTTCCATTTCCCAGCCCTCCGGTCGTCCAGTCGGTCCTACATTCCGGAATCTGCGAAGCTACTCATCTGGCGTAACGCATAGTTGGAGAGATCGCGAGACACTGTCGACCAAGATTTTGGTGTAGCACATGACATCCGGCGACATCGCGCGCATTGAGTGCGCCTATTTTGGCGCCGGCGCCGTTGGCGCGGACGCCAGACAGTTTCAAACTGAGCGGATGTGATATTTGTGTTGTGTCAAAGCACCCTTGGAAACAAATTTTCGGCCGAATCTGCCCCCAAGGAAAAAAATTGCAAACGGCTTGATTTGGGAAGTCTGGGGTGGGAATAGCTCAAAAATGCTTTCAGCATGAGTGACTTCAGCTTGTTTGGACGAATGCAGGAAGCATCCGGCTAACTAGTTTAGCCTTCAAGCTCTTGCTCTTTCCTCATTGGATCGTCACTTTAATAGGTATTTCATATTTCCAGACTGAATATTGCTCAGCAGAAGGAATTCGAACGAGTTCTTCGGGACTTAAAAGGGAAAAATTTTGGTGCGATTCAGGACAAATTTGTGAGTTATTGTTTAGAGAGACATGCTCGCTCATATCCGTTCATAAATTTGCATTCAGATGAGACAATACTATTTGGGAGAGATTATTCAATACTATTATCAATCAAAGCGACGCGCTTGCGTTCATGAGCGTTATACGCGTTGTTTGTGCAGGGAAAGGTGAATACTTAGATGCTGATTCATGATTCTCTACTAGCAATGTACATAAACGGTTCAATGAGGAATTTCAGATTGACAAGTGCCACCGCCGCACGAGTACCTCGCTACGAGTGCGCAAACTGTACAAGGTATTTGTGGGAAGGGAAGCATAGGCCGCCCATATACTGTGCTGTCTGCCAACTTTACTACAAGTATGTTCAGTTTCTATGTAAAACCGTGACTCCGTATTAGTGCCAATAGTTTCAATCCAGTTCCCTCCATTTTGACTTTGCGATACTATTTTCCAAATGAGCATCTGCGCACTTCCTCTTCAGAAGAAATGGCTGTCATCGTAATGTCGTGGGTAAATTGTTTGAGATGGATGAGAAGGTCGTTAAACGTTGGGTGGAGCTGGAAAAGGATAACAAGCGAACGATGTCTAGTGCAGAGGTATGCTATAGATCCTTATTTAGTTGCTACTAAAACGAAGATACTTCTGGTTTCTAATGAAGAGGCCGAGCAAACCGTTGAAGGTTTTGAAAGCATAGTCAAATAAGTTCTGTCCCCTTGAGGTTCATTAGAAACATTCCATAATTTCCCTGAATCTTGTAGAAGCGTAATGGTTGTACTGCTTCTTTTGAATGTGTAATAACAATGTGAAACTCCAAAAGTTTATTCCAAAAAACTCAAAAGACAGCAAAAGTCTCAAAAGTTTTTTAAAATATCTTATCTTGCGATATTTCGGTGCGTAGCACCTTCCTCAGGCCCAAATATCCCGGCAAATTCTGAATTGATTATTCCAAATTATGAATTTGCCGGGATATTTGGGCCTGAGGAAGGTGCTACGCACCGAAATATCGCAAGATAAGATATTTTAAAAAACTTTTGAGACTTTTGCTGTTTTCGGATGAGTAATGAGACTCCGGGTCAGCACCATACACCGATGCTTATTTGAGTTGTAGTGTTGGTAGTGAATGTAAGCTAGGCAGACCGGAACTAGCTTATGTTCTTATAGAAGGATTTTTCTGATGTTTTGGCCCAAATCTGAATTTGAAATGGAGTGAAGGCTTCCACTATCAGTTGCTCTTGAAAGCGGTTCCGCGATTGCATGATAGGAACCCCTTGAGCCAACACAGGGCCGTATCTTTGATCTTTTCAATGCTTGGTTTCTACAAGTACTTTTTGTCCTGTTTCTCCGCGGCACCACATGACGCTTTTTAGTTCGAGTACCGGGTTTAAGAAAGCTATATGGGTTATTCTAAAGCACTTAGTTACGTTTGCACTATCTTTTTTTCCTTCTCTTTAAGGTTTTGGAGTGGCTCGAGACTGAACGGCGCGAGGCAGTTCTATTAAATCCAGATTTCGACGAGGTTGGTGTAGTTTGTAGTTCAAGATGAAATGTGAGCTCAGTGCATCTTTTTCCACAAAAGTGAGGAAATTCCAATTCGGGTGGCGATAAGAGGCAAATACAGTCGAGAAACTTTGTGCCAATCGGCGATAAGGATCGTTTCTCAACGATTTCAAAAAAAATTTCTCAACGATTTCAAAGTGGGAAAGCGTCTACGTCAATGCTCACCCTCTAGGTGTATGTCGATCTATTCTTGTCTGTTTGCTTCTACATCCTTGAGCATTTTGAGGCCACCCGATGGACATGATCTCTGAAGTTATCGTTGATGAGGTTCAAACTTGTCTTCAGTACACAAGAATTAATGCAACCAGAACAGGTTGTGTGGCTGAGACGAGACCGGACCGCGGGCACAGCGATTATTTGCGCTGATTGGCTCGCGTGCGCTTGTTGTTTGTGAAGGGTGGAGTTAAGCGCTATGAAAATGTTTGGGAAATCCTTTTGAATTTTTGGGGAGAGAACATGCTGTCAGTGAAACGCAATATTTTATATGTGTGGGGCGAATTCTACGTAGCAGTTGCACTCTAACAGATCGAGTGAATTCGTCAAGATCGGCGTTGAATACGACCAAGTCGATTGTGCGACTATACCGGACTATATAGTTTGGCGCCATCGCAACCTCCCCTGGAAATTGTTCAGACACCGAATCCCGAGTTCACCGGCTTCAGTAGATGGGAAATAGTTCAAGTTGCAATTGGTTGAGGTGCCACGAACAGTACTGCATCAGAACTGTCGTCTAGTCGATCACTTTGAAGCCTTTCCATTTCCCAGCCCTCCGGTCGTCCAGTCGGTCCTACATTCCGGAATCTGCGAAGCTACTCATCTGGCGTAACGCATAGTTGGAGAGATCGCGAGACACTGTCGACCAAGATTTTGGTGTAGCACATGACATCCGGCGACATCGCGCGCATTGTCATGGGATGGGTGACCCCGCCATTTTATAATGTCATTTTGTCGCAATGAGTGTGGCTCGTGCTGAACTATACCCATGCCGTGAGAAGTAGAAGGCATTACTCTCTCTGCTGATAAGCTCTGGGTGAAGATATGTGTACTGTGTACTGTAGACTGCCCTTGAGGAAACTGCAAAAAAACCCGCTCCCTCCCCCTTTTGAGGCTTCCCCCTTTGTACCGCCCTCTTCCCCTTCCTCCAGACCGATAAAACCGAGAAAAGTCATCGACCGAAAACGTTTTCTTCAAGGGTGAATGGGACCCCCATCTTCCAGCAACTTGATACGACCCTTTGTTGGGATCCCCACGTACGACTCTACCGCTCCTGATACTGTAATACCGCGATGGCCAAGTGAAGTGACTAAGCAAATGAAGTGTCATGTTTTCGCGGCTAAGGGCTTTCACGTAATCAGATCACAGAAGTTATGAGCGTCTATGTGATCCTCCAAATGGTCGTGTTAGCAGCTGGGTGTCTATTATATCAATTTCCTCCACAGATCTCGCTAGATTGGACTTGAGACGACGTACTTCATTTGAAATGGCCTTTTAACTGAAACGTGGTGTCACCATTTCAGTCCCTGTGATGAACTCGTCCAAACCGCATTTTAGCAGTGATCTTGTCCAATTCTTTGAATAAAGGAAAGCGGCAAAGGCTGCTCCGCGAGGTTTCGCTGTTTGGGGTTCTGCTCCAGTGCTGGACCACTAAGAGGCCACAGTTTCATTTTTGATCAGCAACGGGTTATCATGACCACCGCTCGAATGAAAGCAATTAACATTTTGGAATTACGTTGTTTTTTCAGGTCTTGAAGTCAGAGTGAAGTTTGAGAGTTCTATTTTTTATTTTGCAGATCCCTACCCATCCTGCGAAAAAGAAGTTGAAAAACGATCAAGATCATGGAGTTGACGCAGAAATATAAGGCGACGTTGAATCCCAGGTAAGGAGGACGAAAAAAGAGCAGCTTGGAGTGGCTTTGAAGAACTGATTTGGCATAACCTCATTGGTTTGAATTAAGCGTGGCTAACATAATTCATGTCGCATCATTAGTGGAGGGAAAGCCAACTGGTCGCAAACCTCTTGCCTTCTGGCAGGATTTCTACAAATACAATTGCTCGTTAGTCGTATTTAGGATATCTGCACAGATGCGCAATGTCAGTAGCGTACATTTTCAGTGTGCTGGCTTCATCTACTGGAGCACCCCAAATAGTATGGTACTCATAATCGGGGCCGTCTTAGACTGGAGAATCCCCAGCGGGGTGGTATTTGGTCGCTGGACGGAGGGAGGACTCGTATCGATCAGATCCGAAAAGATTTTTTTGGTAGTTCATTTTTTCGTGTCTCACTTCCACTTCGAATGAGGAGGGTCGTGCTCACCGTTGGGAGGTGGAGGGGTCGTATTTACTCCTCAATGGGAAAAAGAGAGGGGGTCGTATCTCGCGTGCCTTTCAGAGTAATTTGTCGCGTAGCGAAAGAATCTTTTTTGGTTATTCACTGATGTTATACATCCTTTTCTCGCTCGACGGCAAAACTACAGTGAAAAAGCGAAATTTTTTTCGGAAAATACGGTAGGACTGTGGAAAAAGTTGAAGGATGAGGAGGAGAAGTTGGGTCGCAGCAGAGGACGAAATTGGGGGGCGGGGGAGGGGGATCGTGCTCTTCAAAAGTTCTCTCCAGCGGGAGGACGTGTGCTGGCCAATGGACGTAAAGGGTGCTTCATTTTCGACCTTCAACTTTAATTTAAGTCTCAGCAAGCTGTAAGCGCTAGTACTCGCAGATTTCGTGGAAAAACTCGCCGGCGGCGTCCACGTGACCGGCACTGGGTGACAGCACAGCGGCCGAGCGGTGAAAAGGACGCATTAGCCAACTCCGCTACCTAGTGGACAGTCAACTTGCTGGTACAATGCTGTCAAAGGACAATTAGCGCCGGGAGGGAGCGTCTTTGAGTGGTGTGGATTGTTGGCAGCAAAGATGCCTCATATGCCTGTTACTTCCGTGGGGTAAAAACAGTCACCATTAACATTTTGAGCACAAGGGCAGCTTAGCGTAATTGAATTTCAGCAAACGGCAACTTCAGCAGAAATACTCGAAGCAGAATGTATGAATATGGTCAGATATAAGCGATCATTTAACGCTTCAGCGCTGCTGGTTGGACATAGATTGGCAAAATGTCAACGAGCTCATTGCCTCTGAAAGAAAGTCATAATGGTGCACGCCATTGCTTTCGCCTCATGACGCCGTTGTGACGTCACTAGGTAAAGGGGGGGGGGTAGGTAAAGGGGGCTGGGAGGGGGGTGTTCGCCCTCTGGGTTAATCGTCGCTCCTCTGAACCGCATCATTTTTTCTCTCTTCTGCGCTCTCTTACCTCCATAACACTCCACACATTCCGAAATTGCCCAAGTAAGTGACCTAGCCTGCCCACCCGTAGTTTTTATTGTGGAAACCCATCACTGCTTCGTCTTTTCTGACTGTATATTATTGTTCAAAATGCGTTACTGACGCGGACTCAGCCTATAAAAGTGTGGTGCATTTCATGTGCAAATAAATGTATGTTCTTCCGCACTGCAGGCGAGAAACAAGAATGCGAATGCGTCTCCTGGAGGATGCGTGGAGGAGACTTATTGTGAGAGGAGTTCCCGTCGTAGTATTCGCTGCGAGTTGTGGGTGTTCAGTCAGTTGTATCACTTGGCGCTAAAGGACTTTCTAGTAGAAAAAAAGCAGACAAAATTCGAGAACACCCCGTGTGCCCCCCCCCTGACAGTAACACAGCCTCATTCTACGAGTTCTCCAGAATTGCCTTCATAAAATGGCTCTTCGCATCATGCAGCTCTAAATCTCTTCCGACGCTAGAAAAATTAAAAGAAAACGAGGAAAAACACGAACTATACTCGGAACAGAAAATAGCATCCGAAAAGCAGTGGAAGCAGAACAGCTTTTGAGCTGGCGAAATAGTCGACATGCTACCTTCCGTTTGAGCACATAAAGTCGTACTACGACGCTGCAGACAACTGTATACATACAAGTAATTCATTGCGTACGTAGTGTTCTTGCTGACTGAAAACATCAAAACCTGCAAAGGTGGCCCATCTGTGATCGCTTTATCTTGCCCTTTCGATTGACAGAAGTTGCACACTCTCTTCGAGTGCTGATCTGGATACCTTGCGGGAACTGTCTTTAGACTGCAGCAGCTTCTTTGATGAAAACCATTTCTGTTCTTCAGTGCTTGACGTCTGTGAAGTAGTTCATATGTTGCGGTAGTATTTTGAAAGTCTTTTTGCCACTCTGCTTCTTATGGAGGGCGGTAGCGCGGTCATCTTTCACGAAGAAAGCGCAGCCTCTTAGTGCGGCCTGAAAACGCGATTAATTATCATACATGTTCTGATTGAGAGAGGGGTCTGATGCTACTTAAAGGTTTGCTAAAATTGTAAGGGATGCAGTCACAGTATGCAAGCGTTAAAATTCTGTATTTTTCTTGAAATGAGGCCATTACTTTGAGAACTATATCCTCGGTAACACCCACCCCTTTCTTAAGATTCGGTATATTCAGAATAAACTCGAACTAGAATTGATCTCTCGACTTAGCTTGTAGCAGCTACTTTCCTTATCACTACGTAATGCGCCCAGGAGGAATTGCAACTGAAAGTTGAAGAGGTCTCAGTCTCAGGCAAAGGTCCTTATTTGCGTTGATGTACGTACGTATTGAGTCTGAAAGAACTTTGTAGTGGTTAATGATAACGATTTCTCTGCTTAAAATGCTCACAGGGAACATTAAGGGAGTCCATCGACCATTCACATTACTAAGTTGAGCTATACAGTGGAGTACCTCAGGTGTAACACGAATGATTGCTGGGAAGAGTGAACTGAGAATTCCCATTGCACTTCTCCAAAAACTCATAAAGTCCAACAGTTGAACCAAGCTACGCAAAAACTTGCAACAGTGAAACGTTCCTTCCAGATTTAGTTCTTGAATGTCGGTTCCGGTTCATGAACTTTCGAACTTCAACCGACATTCAACAATCTAGGTCTGGACGTAGCGTTTCACTCTTGCTGTTTTTTTCGTAGCTTGGTTGAGTTACCTCGAGGACTTTACGAGTATTTGGAGAAGTGCAATGGGATTCTCAATCCACTCTTCCAGCGATTATTCATGTTAGTCCTGAGACCACCAAATAACTCCATTTGGTAATGCAATGACCCGATGGGTTCCTGTAATGTTTCGTGCGAGTACTCCTTTTTATATCCCATTGACGTTTCCTGGTTCGTATTTCCTAGTAATTGGTGAAGCTGCTTGACCGAAAAACTCATGTTGTCTATATTAGTGCCACGCAGAAGGAAGGTGATTGCTGGATTAGCAAGGCTTGCACGAGTTTACTTGCTTCTCGGATCTCAGGTGTGTTCGACTAATCTACGCTGGGACCTGCTCGACTTTTCGCACTGGAAATCCTTAGTTGTCCTTTAGACATCTCCACTGCCCGCGGTCATCAACAGCGAGTCATTCAAAGAACAGTGTCTGGTGGTGCAGAAAATCGTTTAGTAACTATAGACAGCAGTACCTGAGGGTCAATGCCGGGGGGGGGGGGGGGTGAATTCAGTGTTTTAGGGGCCCATGAAACTAAGGGAACATTAGAAACAGACTCGGTTGGTAGCACTTTCGCTCTGAAAGAAGCCGTCGAGTCGTACCCCTGTCACAGAAAGTGAAGTGCTCTGGGAAGATCAGGGGAGTGCGAAACACGTTAGCAAACGCGACTTGCGGGAGCAGGCATAGACTCTGGGCATCGGTATTATGTCAGCTCGGTGAAGCTGCACGGAATTTCTGTCACATTGACGAGAATAACCATTTTTGTGGCAGAAAGGCCCTTAATAAACCATTGACGTGCCGTATTTTTGATGTAGTCCGTGGAATCATGGGTGCTGTGAGAAACATATTCCGCTGTAGATGGTGAGTCGTATGGACAACAACCCAACAACTCAACCCATTGTATAGGCAGAAATCACACGCAGTGACTGCTGGATTTCACTTAATGACACCAGACTGCATGGAACAAAACGCTCTGAAGTAAACATCTCGAGCAGCTGCGCTGGGAGATTTATCCTCTTGTGCTATACAATCCCAACATTGCTCAATGTTAATTGGTACGGTATATGCTGAACTTGATGTAGGAGGGAAGGGTTGGAAACATCGAGGTTTGACATTGAATGGCAGCGTTTATCGGCACACGGCTCCTCTAAATCTTCTCAAAGAGCATTGGTTTTTTTTCGTATGGGACCCTGTGAAATGTGGCGCGGTAAATGGAGAACTTCATCGTTTATCGAACTGTTGTAGTTCGAATAAGGAGGAATCGAAAAAGGATTGTTTATCTCCATACTTGCCGACAATCTGGTAAATTGTATTGGAACGCAAGACTGTACATACAGTGACGACTGTTCATCGTACCTCTAGACGAGCGTTTTATGAGTGCCCGCAAATGTAGTGTGGGTGTCAAACTTAGCGTATTTAATTAGGCTTCAAAAAACGATGTGCGAAAATGTCCTGTAATACAACAGTAAGGGACTCACAGAAAAGCAGAATCCTGCATAAAAATTAGGCTGGGTAGCTTTTTTCATTCACCGGAGCGACCCACCATTCTTTGATCCTTTGTGGTAACCGCTCCGAGACCGAAGGCAGAGCTCATGATTCCCGATTATGGTACTGGGATTAAAATACAAGTGTCAATGTGCTGAGTAATTCAGCAATGAAGAATCGGAGCAGAAAGAACCGTAAAAAACGCGCTATATAAGACATCCGTTGGTTCTGAGCGTTGTGAAGCAGTTTTCATACTTTTTGATACGAAATAAGTTGGATACAACTAGAATGAGCCTCAGTTCTCCAATCCTCCAAGTGGGCGGAGCCAGCCAATGCTTTCCCATAGCGGAAGTTCGAACAAC